ATGCGACGTATCCATGCGACGTATCCATGCGACGTATCCATGCGACGTATCCATGCGACGTATCCATGCAGTGTTGCCGTCACCCTCTGTCTCGATCTCACCTGTGGCATGGCGGCGGCTGTGCCTGTCACGCTTTGCACGCTTCGTCCCCTTCGTCGGCTTCTGTTCGGAAGGGAAAAGCGTCGGTCCTCATACGCTCCACGGATTTGTACCTCTTATTATCCCATTTTTTACAGCCACGTAAAACCCCCTTCCAGTGTTGTCGCAAATGTATAGATATACGTACGTCGTGTGGTCGGCGATGCGTCAGTGGCCTTCTCTGCTCCGCAGAAATGATCGTATAGGTGCAGTGTTTCCACCAACGGGGAAGCAAACAGATTGGTAAAATGGTCGTTTATCCTTTATATTTTCTTCTCTTTTACAGAATGGAAAAAGAAAGAAAGAAAAAATAACCACATGAAAGCTAAATATGCAGCCCTTTTCCGCAAACCTTTTGGCAATGTAGAAGAGTATAGTTCTCTTGGCTTGGGGACAAAAATAAAAAAAAAAATAAAAAATGGTAAATTCGGCAATTGATTGATAGGGGATCCTTCTTTTCCTCCTTTTACCATATTGCCCCTTCTCCTTTTTGTGGTTATTTTGGCTAACCTGTTTGTTCACTCGCTTATGTTTTTTTTTTTTTTTTCTTTTTTTCCTGTTTCTTCTGCGCATCGGGAAAGTGGCGTTTTTTTTTTTATTTTCCTCTTGGCGCGTGTTACCGAGGGATGAGGAGCCATAATCTACATACCATTTGGAAGGGAAAAAAAAGAAAAAAAAAGAAGTTACGCGGCAGTGTGAAGTGAAGATGCGTCAAATGGAGCATACAGAATGCATTTAACGAGTATGCTTGTGATGAGTACTGCGTGTTACTCTCCTGGCGAAGGGTGAAAAAGAAATGAGAAAAGAAAAAAAAAAAAAAAAAGCAACACCATAAAGTAAACCGTAAGGTGAAGGCGTATCTACATGCTACTTCCTACTCGCTACCTTCATAGCTTGTTTGTAAAATCAAAACCGAGTGATGATCCAAAATCCCATCTTTCGCCTGGCTACCCATTTGAGCGACTCGTTTTTATTTTGCTCGTCGTTCTCCACTCCCCGCGCTGATCTACTTGTCTCGCGTTTGTGGATCCCGAAACCGGCGGGGAGGGGCAGTCGAGTGGCTGTTTGAAAGAAGGCACCCCATTTAGGAAGAGACTCCCTGTTTAAGCGACTCCATTTGACACAACAGGTGAAGAAGTATACAAAAAGATAGAGTAACAACCAAAGTGACAGAATTGCCCTGCCAGGAAGAAGACTGAAACAGGGGAGAGATAACCTCGAGGAACGCTCAAGAGGATCCTCTCCATTGGGATGAATTCACGGGATGGAAGTGAAGCCCATCCCATTTGTGGCACCCCCATATTTTGACTAGACCGAGAGAAAGAAGCTCCCCGGAAGGTATAGAAGCGAATGCGGCTTCTCCTCCATTTCGACGCCCAGCGTTTGAATATCCAAAGGGGAAAACACACATATAACCTAACCATACGAAATGGCGAACGGGAGGAAGATTAAACGGAAAGGGGGGAAGGGGGGGAAGCCACCCCTATTAAGGCACTCCAAATTGAGGATACTTTTTTACATTAGGAGGTACCTAGAGAGAAAGCGTCGAGAAGCTCGTTTCACTCGCTGCCAACGTGATGGAAGCAGCAGTGGAGGACGTGGCGGTGATGGTGAAGAGAACTCTCCTAGTAGAGGTGCCGCCTCCCCAGTGACGTTCGAAGAACTGGGGGTGGAAGACTGGTTGGTCAAAATAAGTAAGACGGTTCAGATTACCCACCCAACAAAGATACAGCAACTGTGTCTGCCGCTCATAATGAGAGGACACAATGTGATCGGGACGTCCGAGACAGGGACGGGGAAGACCATCTGCTACTGTTGGGGCATTTTGCAAGAATTGAATAAAAACTCCTTTGGAGTGTTCGCCTTAGTCCTGCTCCCCACCCGAGAGCTAGTCGTCCAAGTGGTGGAACAATTCCTTCTCTACGGATATAGGATAGGAATAAAAATCCTTTCGTGCATTGGAGGATCTTCTCTAATTGAGCAGCGAAGGAGAGTGCTGGCCAAGCCGCACGTTGTGGTGGGGACCCCCGGGCGAACCAGCGATATTATGGATAACTGCGAGGATGTTAAGAACTGCTTCAAACGGCTGAGCTTCTTCGTTTTGGACGAAGCGGACTTGCTGCTGCGGAGCTGTTACGAATCGAAATTGGAGGTAATTCTGCGTTGTTTGCCTAAGGGGGGAGGAAGCGAATCGGTCGGGGGATCGGTCGGAGGATCACTCTACGGCGGGGTGGGCGGACGGAGGACCCTCCTTTTCAGCTCCACCATGAGCGACTCGATAGAATTACTCGCCGACACCTTCCCCCAGGGAAACCTAATTCTTGTAAATGTGAACAAGAAGCAGAAGCCGCTGAAAAATCTGGACCAGAGATACATCTACGTGGACGAGATCGCGCAGATGACCTATTTGGTGTACCTCTTACGGAAAAAGTTACCTGACCAATCAGGCATTATTTTTACAGACAACAGCTATCGATGTGAATTAATCTACACCGTCTTGCGCATGCTGGGAGGGTTCTCTGTCGAATCAATACACTCATCAAAGGATCCGAAAAAAAGGATAGCTGCCTTATCGAAGATAAAAAATGGAGGGTGTAAAGTTCTAGTCGCTACAGATATAATCAGTAGGGGTATCGACATCCCCAAAACTTCCTTTGTCATCAATTTCGACTTCCCCAATGATGCCGTCTTGTATGTCCACCGAGTAGGAAGAACTGCCAGAGCGAACAGGAAAGGGGTGGCGATCTCCTTTGTGGACAAGCGCGATGTGAACTCGTTTAATGCCGTTATGCAGATAATGAAGAGTGCGTTAAAGCCGTGGCGATTGAGAAAGAAGGAGGTGCTCCAGGATATGTTCCAAGTAGGCCGCGCGCTGAAGAAGGCTGAACTGCTGCTGGAGGAGAGGGAGGACGCCCGACGCGAGCACCGACGCATGCAGAGGTTTGTGCACCGTGCGATGTGACGTGGTGTTACGAGGCGTTACGAGGTGTTACGCAGCTGCGTAGTAACGTGGGCTCTATCATCCCACACCTCCACCCACCGTGATGATGACTCTTCCTTCCGATTGACGTACTATAGGGGAAGCGCCTGTAGCAACCCCCAACAGATTTGCACCTGGATTACCCCCCTGACGATCGCTTCCCCCTTTGAAGAAATTTTCCTTCTTTTTTTTTTTTTTTGTGTTAACACCCTTACGCGAAGGGGGTTATTTTCTATCTGTATTGGTATTTTATTATTTTTTTTTTCTGTTTAGGGTCAGCCATTTGGGGGCTAATGGCATGCGCTGTCCCCACCCCCATCCTACTGCCTTGGGAACTTTCGAATTTGCCCATTTGGCCAAACCGTACGGCAAGAAAAGGACTTCCCTTTTGTGAAGGCTTCCAATTTGTGCGTTTATTTTCACCCGTTTGAGTTCCCATTTTGGTACTAATCCTAACAGGGCGCGGCCCACATTTCGTCGCGTCATAAGTGAAGCGTTAAGCAAAAGGTTAACACCTCCCTGTGTGTTTGGGTGCAGTGGGCTCGTTATAACCTCCTCTACTCGCCTCAACGAGACATACCACGCTTTCGCAAAAAGAAAGAAAAAAAAGAAACGAGGATAAATCAGCGCACAGGTAAAAAATATATATACTATCTACACATTGTATAAGTTCCCCCTTTGCCGTTTTTTTCTCAACTATGTAGGGGACAGGGGGGGCCTGCTCTTGTTGTGTTCCGTTCCCATCGCACTGGCCGCTCTCGGTCGCCGCATTACGCAGTAGGCGATTTTCTCACATAACAGGTGAAGGCCCTGTTCGCGGTTTCCTCCGCTGAGCTTTCCCCACCATGAGATGACGCCTCGACAAAGTGCATTGGACGCTCATCTGGAAGCAAAAGTGCCAACGGGGCTACACAAATTAAATGTTTCTTTTTTCCGCTTCCCTCTTCTGTATGCTACTCGCGAACGCCCTCAGGGGGGTAAGAAACAAACGGGACGCATTTAACCGTCTGGCCTTCATGCCCCCGTGGGGAAAGGGAAGCCGAGAGAACTTCCCTCGCGGTGGAGCTAAGATAGGAGTAAGTAGCATACTCGAAAGTGTCGTCACCCCGCAGAGGCGCTTCCTTTTCCGCTTACACATTCAGAAGGGAAAAGGGGATCAATTGGAGAAGTCATATCGTGTGTGTGCTCCCGGAATAAGTGAAAACAGCGCACCGGTAGAGACGTTGCAGAAGGAGCCGGCACACGGAATAAGAGGTAGAAAGGGACAGATGAAGGTGAAACAGGAGAAGCAGAAGGATGAGGCATCCTCCGTCTCGAAGAAAAAAATTGCCAAGAAGGAAAAAAAAAATGCTGTGAAGAGCGAACAAGGAGAAAAAGAGACCAAGGGAAAAAAGGGAAAAAAAGGCACACAAATCAAAGGAGAAACGGACAAGGTTAAAGTTAACGTTAAAGACAAAGTAGCATCGGTCTATCCTCCCATCCCCAAAAGCATGGATGACAGGTGGAGCGATTTTCACCGAATTAGGGAATATACTACAATTACTAATGTATATCTGGGGGCACACATATCCGCCGCTGGAGGAGTGCAGAACTCACCGGCAAACTGTTTCAACGTAGCCGGACAAGCCTTTGCATTATTTCTAAAAAACCAGAGGAAGTGGGACAGTCCTCCCTTGTCCCCTGAAAATATAAAACAATTTGAGCAAAATTGCAAAGCGTATAACTTGGATACACAGTTTATTCTTCCCCATGGGTCGTACTTAATCAATTTAGCCAATCCAGATTTGGAGAAAAGGGAGAAATCTTATGCCTCCTTCCTTGATGACATAAAAAGGTGTGAGCAGTTAAACATCAGACTGTATAATTTCCATCCCGGATCGACAACAGGGATGTGCTCCCTCGAGGAAGGAATTCGAAATGTCGCCGATTGTATTAATCGCGTCCACAAAGAGACGTCCAACGTTGTCATAGTCCTGGAAAACTCAGCTGGACAGAAAAACTCAGTGGGATCCAAATTTGAAGATTTAAAAAAGATTATCTCTCAAATTGAGGATAAGTCAAGAATTGGAGTCTGTCTCGATACATGTCACACATTTGCGGCTGGATATGACATCAGATCTTACGACGACTTCGATCTTGTGATGAAGCAGTTTGACCAAATTGTCGATGCCAGCTACTTAAAGGCTGTCCATCTTAATGACTCCAAGTCTGACCTTGGCAGTGGCCTTGACAGGCATGAGAACATCGGCAAGGGGAAACTCACTTTGGACACTTTCAAATATGTAATGACTTCTAAGTACTTTAAAAATATTCCCATCATTCTGGAGACCCCCGATGTTACCAATGATGAGTCGGTCTATAAATACGAGATAAGGTACCTCTACGAGATGGTTGTGAAGGGGGAGGCGGAAAGGGCGGCGGAAGAGGACAGCCAATCACGGGGTGAGGTGGTACATTCGAAGTGATACAGGGGGGGGAGGAAGTGTGAGGCCTTCACCATACTTCTCCGTAAATGTACCTTTCCCCCCTAGGAGCGTACTCATCCATGCAGGCTTCTACCCCCCTGAGAGGAACTCGTCCAGGTCCCCCACACGCTGGTCCCCGAGGCGAATAAGATATTCTCTGAAATTGCGCGGCAGGACGGGAGTATATCTGTCTTGGTCCAGCCCGGTAAAAAACGACTTGGAGACAAAACGAAAGGGAAGAACCATCGACTCTTTCTCATTTCGTAAGACAATCTCTGGGTTGTCGACAAAAGGGATATCCTGAAACTCTACGTGATTATCTAAAATGATGTGACACACCAGGACCGCAGTATTTGTCGTCATCTGCATGTCCCCAAGATTTCTCGAAATGACGAACTGGCACTTTCGCAGAATAGAGGTCCTGTCATCCGATGGAACATTTCCGAGTATCCCTCCAAAGAGCAAGTAATCCAAGTGTCCCCTATCGTTGCACGTTAAGATCTCCTTCGCTTTCATATCTAGGAGACAAATCTTTTTCCACTCAAATTTTTCCTTCAACTCACTGATAGGCTGTTCGTAGCACGTCGGGTTGTGTTCCTTGGATACTTCTCCAAAGGGTCTGTTAAATTTCGTGAATATGACATTTTTGTCCTTTACCGTCTCGCATATGTGTATGTACTCCAGAATGCTCCACTCCTCTAGCTCATCCAGGTGCTCCACGATGTACTTGGGGCCGGCCCCGCCTTCCATACTTGTAGGGAGCATTGGCTAGCCAAATGTACACCGCAGTGGCTTTTGATATGCTTCTTTCCACGAGGACTTCCCCACCACTGCAATTGTGCGCATTTGCCCGACGCAACGGCCCTCTACAAGCTGGAACCAGTAGTAAAAAGGGGGGGAGCTCTTCACTTCGCCAAGTCGCACAGTTGTTTCTTTCACCTACGCCTTTGTATTCCCCCAATTGATGAAATTTTTTTTTTTTCTTTTTTCGCACCCTTTTACCTGACTTGTTCATAATTTTTCCCCCCCTTCTTGGTATTTTTTTTATTTTTTTTTTTTTGCTAACCCGTTAAGGTGGTTGACATTTTTGCGCCGAAATGGGGAATATAAGTCCCTCTTCCAGGAATAAAAAAAAAGAAAAACAAAAAACGTAAAGAAGTGAAACAAAAAGGTTCTCTTTCAAAATGGTAACAAGTCGGAGAACACAAAAACGGGAGTAAACACAACGTAGCGTAAAGATGAAAGATAAAAGGGGCGAAACGTTTAACCTGGCACAAAGGTTATACACGTAAAAATCCCCCTCGCCAATCAGCGGTGGAAAGGAAATTTTTCAAAGTGCATCCTATCGTACGCGATGTGCTGCTACGTCGTACATGTGGTCTATCGTCAGCATTTGAGAGCGAATAGAGGGGGTTGTCAGACGTCCCCATAGAGGTTATCCTAACCTTCTGAAGAGACTTGTGAGCTGGGACGCATCACCCCTTCGCCTGAATTTGTGCGCCTGACTCTCTGTTCACATGGTATCGTCACCGCCTCACCGCCAATGGACGACTTCGAGTACTATTTCCTCCCAACTGAGGAGGAGTCGGAGCAGGTGAAGGGAGCCAAACTGGAGCTGCACAAAGTGCTGAAGAGAAACAGAGAAAGGCACAGCAGGGTAAACAAGCCGATGAGGGCGTCGTCCAATGAGATATCGCTCCTTGGGGGGAAGGAGGATGCGTCGAAGGGGAAGATGGAAGCATCTCCCCCTTGGACCGATGGGGAGAAGGCCCACTGGAGAGGCATGCACCCCTCGACGGGAAGCGAAGGGCATTCCTCCAAAAGGAGGACCAGCCACAAAGAAGACACGAGGTTCAAAACGGGGGGAGAGGAACAACTTCCCAGTGAAGGTCGCCCAGTGTGTTATAACTTAAATGAAAATCATCACGACAGTGAGGTGAATGCAGAGAGGCGAATTCAACCTGGTCACAGTTTAGGGGAAGCGACACTGGGGGGAGATCGACAAGGTAAAAGAAGACTCAATGAAGATAATATTGGCCGCCATGGGAAGAAGCTGAAGGGAGGGGTAGCAATGACAAGGGAAATATCCATCGAGTTGAGCAGCACTGGAGGGAAAATCTCCACTGTGGGTAACGATGACCATAAAACAGACACGGCAATGAAGTGGAGCGCGACGGGAGGGAGTGCCCAAAGCCGAAGCAACAGTTACAGGGGTACCTCCGAGGGGAACGACCAGTCAGATTCGCTGTCCTCGGGGAGGTCCTCCTCCACGGATTATCTCTCTCATGATAAGGGGGATAAAAAGGGGAAGATGAAAGTGGAGAGGCACCCCCGCGGGGGGAAGGGCGAAAAGTCGGCCAGGCCGGCCAGGTCGGTCAGATCGGCGCTGGGGATGGCCTCTACAACTGCCACCGCTGCCACCGCCGCTATGACCGCCCCTACGACGACCACTTCTGCTGTGGGTAGGGAAGGAAAAACGTCTGACGGTAGCAGACCCCGCCGCATACCAGAGGAGCCAAAGCGGGAAAGGAAAAAGTACAGCGGGGTTATGATGCTGCACAAGTTTAAAATAAACTACCAAAGCCTGACGGAGTCGGAGAAAAAGTATTACCTCTACATGATGAAGAAGCTGCGTGTGCGTTACGATCACGAGAGGCAAATCTTTTACACAGACGATACATTTACGAAGTGTTTTACAGAGAGGGTTCGCCAAGAAAAGGGGAAATTCAATTATCTAGGTTACTTAGAATATGCCTGCTTCTACATCCTTGAATGGTTAACCCCAACGAGGGAAGAAAAACTGTTAAAGCAGAAGTCGCTGATCAAATTGGAAGTGGCGGTGAAGTCGGTCTTTCCGAAGGCTACGATGCAACCGTTTGGATCGTTCGTCACAGGATTGTCCATCCCGGGCAGTGACCTCGACGTGTGTTTTCTTGACATCCCCCTGGAAGACCTGGATGCCTTGCTAATCATTTCGTACGCCTTAGTCAAACTAGATGTCGTGGCAGACATACGATTAATTAAAGATGCAAGGGTTAAGATTCTAAAATACACAGACAAAGAAACAGGGGTTCAGGTGGATGTATGTACAAATCAGCTCTCCTCAAGACAGACAACAGATTTTATAAAAAATAAAGTGGAAAAATATCTCTATTTGAGACCACTCGTCATTCTGTTAAAGTTTTTTCTGAACACAAGAAATCTAAACGAAACCTATATAGGTGGGATTGGTTCTTTCCTTCTGTGTTGCATGGTTTTGCATTTTCTACAACTGCACCCTTCTACCTTCAACTGGACTGTCTTTAGCAACTGCTATTTGGTGAAGTTATTACTCGAGTTTTTTAGCTTCTACAGCATTGACTATAATGTCGATTTCAACTGCTCCGTTTTGCGAGGTCTGGGTCATGTGATGCCAAGATATATGCGAAGAGAATTTGAGCGGAACAATCGGCTCTGCTTTGAAAACCCAATTGATACTTCAGTGGATATTGGGAAGAATGCGTACAAAATTAGGTATGTGTTTTATCTGTTTAGTCACCAGTTCTGCGCGCTGGCGAGCTTGATTGGGGCGTTGCGTGGCCAAGCAGGGGAGGCCCTCTTATCTGTGAGTAGTCACTGCGAGGCGGGAGGCGCAACGGGGGGCAAAGCGGGGGGCAAAGCGGGAGACACAGGGGGAGCTCGACTGGACCGCTACGCCGAGGGCGACAAACTAAACGCGGCCGGCTCCATGTTCCCCCTCTTCTTCGCCAACTTCTTCAACCCGGACAGCATCGTCTTCACGAAGCGACTCAAGGCGGAGTTCCCAAACCCGCAGTGGAACATCAGCCACTTCAACTTCTCCGTCACCACGGAGGAGAAACACAAGCTGCTGGAAATGCTGCGGGACGACTGGGCCTCCTACTTCGACCGGGGCCTTCCCCCCGACAGCGCAGCCCTCTTCGCCGCCTTCGACAGGACCTTCCCCTTCTCCCTGGACCTGTACAACAACGCGTTTAGGTACGCCCAGTGAAGCGGTATCGTGGATGGCGGTAACGTGGTAACGGGGCGGCGTGGTATCATGGATCGCGGTAACGGGGTGGCCTTGCAACCGGGCAGCGGGACACATTTGCCCCGCTTTCTCAACCGTGCAGGAAGCGCTTCGCCGCCAAGTGCACATTCTGGTCAAACAGAGAACTTGTAATCATTCCGTTGGGCTCATACAATGGGTTCAATAAGACCTTAATATAATTTTCGTGAACGATCTCGAAGAAGGATCGGATGTTCTCATCGGAGGGGACATAGATTGTGGGTCCAACTGTCGTCCCCCCCCCACTGATCATCTCATTCTTGTTCTTGTGAAGCAGTAAGAACTTTATGTGTCCTGTGGTACAATATGCTGACACAGAATAGCTGTTAAACGAATCGACCGTTTTTAAAAAAAGATTCGTAGATTTCCATACTACCACATCTACCGAATCTAGAGACTGATGAATTATGAACTGTGCCAGATGTTCTGAAATGTCCTTTTTGACGTTCATAGACAGGTCGGCTTCGTACAAAGGGATGTCTCCTTTTCCTATTATTGCCAGCACGTACACCTGGTACGTCGTCGCAGGGCCACTCACGCTGTTTCGACTCATCTGTGTGATGTGGTTAGCTGGCAAGGTAACTCGGCTCTGTCAGCCGCGGCGCGGCGGGGTAAGTCCCCTTTGTCATCCGCGGGTCGGCGGGGTAACGTCCCCTTTGTCAGCCGCTGACTGGCTGCGCCCCTCTCCTCCCCAGGAGCCGCAAACCTAATCGTTGCACCTTTTGGCGAATACTCTCGCTGCACAAACGGGCGTTCCTTTCCCTTCTGTGTTATCCAAGGGGACATTCCCCGGCGCGTTTTGCAGAGGGGGGAGAAAAAAGGAAGAAGCCAAATTAACGAAACGAAAAAGGGGCAAAAAAAGGGGAAAAAAAAAGGGGGAAAAAAGTGCCCATCAAAGGGGCCAAAAAAAGGCGAACATATGAAATACCCCGTCACTACACTTATGCCAGTTGTTAACGGTTCAGTTTGACACGTGCAATCCTGGGCTGCCGGCACTATAGCTGTGCCGAGGGCGGCAACGTAGGATTGCACGTGTTAGCAAAAAAAAAAAGTAACCCCCATTGGGAGGAAGAAAAAAAAAATTAAAAAAAAAAATGAAACACAAAAATGAAACAAAAAAATGGGACAAAAAAATGGGACAAAAAAATGAAACAAAAAAATGAAACAAAAAAATGAAACAAAAAAATGAAAAACAAAATAATAAAATAACCCACGGGGGATGGAAGCAAAAACAATGCAGAGACAAATCAAACAATTGGAGGCAGAAAACTCAGACCTTCCATCGCCCAACGGAGGGTCTGCTATATGCAGTACTGTCGAAGGGGCGAGTTCTTTCCCACCCCCGAAAGGGCCTACACACAGGCGCGGAAAAGTAACGCAACCACGTATGTACAAATATACGTGCAGACAAGATACGCCCAATATGTGTAGGAATGGGGTTTGGTGAAGGGGTCCCTCTAACCCTTCGGTCAGCTTAAGGACGCTGCTGTACAGACGACTCTCCGAACCTGTCACTGATCACTCGAAATTTTTGAGCTTTGGCACGAATTTTTTGATTTCCCTCTTGACTTCCACCTTCTTGTTTAATTTCGCGTTCACTTTATTCTTGTCGATAAAGATGGCGGTTTTTTTTGCCTTTTCGAGGAGGTTCTTCAGGTCGGGCCCATCTATGCTGGAGTCTACGAAGGGGAGGGGTGCAGTAAAGGGGGGAAGCAAACGGGGTGAAGTAAAGGAGGTGGTTTAGGGTTCAGGAAAAGGGGGGTAAGTAAAGAAGACAAAACCGCACGCGAAGCGCAAGTCGCGTGTACACGATAAGTTACAGCGGCGCGGCCGAATGACTGGCGCCACCACCCGCGTTTCCCTTACGTGATTCCGTCTCCGCGGGCGCAGCAGACACCGGATTAGAAACCGGATTAGAAACCGCATTAGAAACCGGATTAGAAACCGCATTAGAAACCGCATTAGAAACCGGATTAGAAACCGAATTAGAAACCGGCTTAGGAACCGGCTTCTTCAAGATTGTCGAGGGGTCCCTTGGCTTCATCTTCAAAAGGGAAAGCATTTTATTCTTGATTGATAATTTTTTCTGCAAACGTCTTTCCACTTTCCTGATTTGGGCACCTCCTTCGGTCGAGTCATCAGTTAGGGCGGCGTCCCTGAAAATAATTGGGCGAGCAGCTTGGGCATCAGTTGGGGGAGCGCCCTTGAACACAGTTGGGGGATCGGCCTTGGAAGCAATTAGGGGATCGGCCTTGGAAGCAATTAGGGGATCGGCCTTGGAAGCAGTTGGAGCGGTCATCCCCGTCATCTTCTCACTGGGAGTGGCCTTTTTCGCAGCATCAGAACCTTTGTCTTCTTGCTCTCTAGGTGCAAGGGTTATCTTCGGAGGAAATTCTTTAAGCAGCTTGCTTAAGTTTTCTTTTTTGGGTTCTACCTTTATCTTCAGAATTGGTTTTATCGTCTTACTGGCGAGGTGGTTGTCCTTCGTGTTGCTCTCCTTCTTTGCTGCGTCTGCCGGATCGCTCTTGGCAGGGTTACTCTTTGGAGGGTTGTTCTTCACAGGGTCGATCTCAGCAGGGTTGGTCTTCACAGGGTCGATCTCAGCAGGGTTGGTCTTCACAGGGTGTGCGGCGTCACTTTTTCCTAACCCTAGAGGGTCATTTTTTGCTACAATCGCTGTGTCATTTTTTGCAGAGGTTACCGGTCCCGCTTTCTTCGCCGAATCCTTCTTTCCAGGCAAAGGCAACTTAATCTTCATCACGCCGTCCTTCACCACTGGGGAGATCTTCTTCAAGGCGACTGGACCCTTCTCTAACGCGTCTTTTTGCCCTGTCTTTTGCCCTGTCTTTTGCCCTTCCGTTTGGGCTGTCTTTTGCCCTGTCTTTTGCCCTTCCGTTTGCCCTGTCTTTTGCCCTGTCTTTTGCCCTTCCGTTTGCCCTTCCATTTGGGCTGTCTTTTGCCCTTCCATTTGGGCTGTCTTTTGCCCTTCCGTTTTGCCTACCTTTTGCTCTCCCTGTTGCTCCCCCTCTTTCGCCTTGGGGTCACTAGGTCCGTTACTGCTCGAGAGAGGTAGACTTTTCTTCAAAAGACCTCCCAGCTTTCTAGCGCTCCCCTCAACGGGGGTCGTGGAACCGCTGCTGCCATCCTTCTCAATCCCCTCGGATGTGCCATTCTTTGACTCCAACCGTTTGGCTAGATTTTTTATTCTACTCTGAACTAGGGAAAGGGTGCCGCTTTTTTCTTCCTCCTGATTATGCTGACTGGCAACAGGGCTGACACTCTTGTTGCTACTGCCTCCCTTCTTGCTGCTACTGTCTCCATTTTTTCCGATACTCTCGCCATTCTTGCTGCTACTCTCTCCATTCTTGCTGCTACTCTCTCCATTCTTCTGATTGAGACTGATTCGTGTGGAGGCTTCCTTCTGGGGAGTGTTTTCCTTCACATCGGAGTTTGACTTCTTGGCGTTCGTCGAGGCGGCTGTGGGGGGTGGTGGTGAAAATGGGGGTGTGTGCATTGGTGAGGGTTGGGGGCGTTTCACGTACACTTGTTCATCGCGCCCTTGCAGCAATGCGTAGGTAGCGGCGCAGCTCACCCGAGTCGGCATTCTTCGAGATGTAGGGCTTGAAGATGACCTTATTTCCCCTCTGAAAGCGGCTCGCCCCCTTCCCTGTGTTGTTAGCGGACAGAGGCTGCGCATGCGGCTGTCCCAGCGGCTTCACAGGCGATTGTACCAGCGGCTTCACATGCGATTGTCCCTGCGGCTGCGCATGGGACTTTACATGAGACTCCACATGCGACCTCCCCTGCATCTGCGATGGCTGATCCCTTTCCTCGATGACTTTGCTCAGAAGGGTGCTCTTCTGAAAGGTCACTCTGGCGCTGCTCTCCACCTTCCGATCGTCCCCGGAGGGAGCGTCGCCTGGGTTGTTCCCTCCGTGCGGAGCAAGTAACGTTGACTGTTTCCTCGCTCTGCTAAAAATCTCAGCTGGGAGGAGGGAATGTGGCGGACAAGCAAACACAGACACATGCATTTTCCCTATTATCTCAGGCTTCGAATTTGCAACCCTTGAGTAAATGTCCCACGACGCGTCTCTCACTAGAGTCTTCTCACTAATGAAAGAACACACAGATGTACCAATCAAAGCTTTTCCATTCACGTCATGTACGTCTATCATAAAACGGGGTATATCTCCTGCATTTTTTTCTGGCAATGAAGTTAAATTAATAGTATAGTCGATGTTAAAAATGCATTTGCCTCCATTGCCACGTGCATCCATATCCTTGGGCTTGGTCACTCTCGTCGTGTTCTGAATCGCAGAGGTACTCGTCTCACGGTCGTATCGGACGACGCAGATGATCCTTGCATTTTCCTTCTTGTAGTCTATTTCTAGGAATCCAATTCGTATACAGAACCCTTGTAAGTCATGAGGGAGAAGTTCGCTGCAATTTGGCTTGTGTTCATCATCATACTCACTTCGTACCTGTTTTGTTTGTTCCTCCTCCACGTATTTGGAGAATATCGCGTCATCAGCATAGTTGTCCTTGGAGCTCTCCTCCCTGTTGAGGGCGCTTCCGCTTCGTCTCCCCGAGTCGGAGAAGCTTCCCCCAGGCGCAGCACCGAGATGACTGCACCGTTGGTGAGTGATCCTCTGGTGGCTGCCCCTTTCGTGACTTCTTCTTTCTTGACTGCCGCTTTGCTGATAATCGGTCGGGAGCACCCCATTGTGAGGGCCATACCCCGAGGGGGGTAGCCAACCGTCCCCTTCAGACGGCACCACTGGGGGGATAGGAGGAACGGGAGGACTCACAAACTTCCCATCTTTCAATAGCCCAATCGATCCATAATACAACACTCCGTAAAGAGAATTAATGCGAGGGTCAAGTGTCCTACATGGGTATATATAATCCAGTAATGTCTTTATGGTGTTTCTCTTACTATTCGTGCTGACCCCGTAGGCATTGACGTCTGCCGCTACCTGCGTGCAAACACCAGAGAACGACTGTACCAGGGTATCTAGCTGTATGTATAAAAGGTCAATACGTCTCACTGTGTCTATCAAGGAGCTCTGATTTTCTTTAATGTTTAGCAATTTCGTTTCTAACTTATCTGTGTAGAGTTTATTTTTTTGCAATATGGTATAAGTCTTGTTGAGCTCTTCATGCAAGTCATAATTTTTCTTCTCACAATCGGCTCTTTTATCTTTCTCCATTTTGTACAGCTTGAAATAGAACCTAATTTTGTTTTCTAATTCTTCTAATATGTTTTCAATGATTTCTGGTTCTGGTCGCGATCTTTCGTGAAGTGTGTCCTTCGTTAGGCTGTACTTGTTTTGATGCACCTCCTCCAAGTTGTGCAATGCATCCATCCATACCTTCCCCTCGTTGCTCTTTTTTTTCTTTCTCATTTGCTCGGTTCGGTGTGGAAGGTGGAGCTCCACCGGTGTGTCTTCGTTTATATGATAGGTCGAGCTCCACCGGTGCGTCTCCGTCGATATGATAGCTGGAGCTCCACCGGTGCCTTCTTTTATGCCTAGTGACGTCTCCTCTCCTCGCTAATAACCGCTGGCATTTGCAAAACAATTCGCCTCAGCCAGATAATAGCGTTTTAGTGGGGGGAAAAAAAAGAGGAGACAACTTTAAAAGGCGGTGTTGTTTTAATATCAATAGGTAAATTAAAAAGAAGAAGACAAATTGGGGTAAGTACAAATGTGCGCGCGCTGGGTGTCACGAGGAGCGTGGGATTCGCTTGTGGGTGCAGTTGGACAGAGGCATTAAAGCGGCATTAAGAAGGGTGATTAAAAGTGTCTGTTAAAAAGGAAGATTAAACGTGGCCTTTAAAAAGGGACATTCAAAAGGGTTTTAAAACGGGTACTACCGCTAACGTGACAGCTTGAGCGGACTTTCAAAGCAGACGTGTAGAGCTCGCCAAAGGGCGCGTCCCTTTAAAAGCGTCTGCTACGAAACAGTGCGTAAAAGTGGAGGGGAGAATCGATTAATTGACGCAAGAAGAGTAAGGGGGCTGTCTGCGCGCGCGCATATGTGTTACAGGTACATATATGTGTATATATTCACGTACGCCCAAGTGCGCCCTGTAGACAATGCGCGAACCTTGAAGGCGGTTCAAGGACGCCAGAATCAGCGCGAAAATAATTTGTGAACACACACAACGGCGTTTGGCAGGGTGCGCTGCGAATTTGTGTTTGGAAAAGTTTTCCAAAAAAAAACGAATTTGCTATATTTTAACACATTTATTTCCTTTTTTTTCCACAATTTATTCTTTATTTTTATTTTTTAAGGTTTATTTTTAATTTTTACATTTTTCCTCTTTTACATGGGAAAAAATTCACTTCGCGTTTTAATTCCCTATTGTGCGTTTTTTTTCCGAGCGTGTTAAGTGGATGCAGGAGTTGAACGCCGTTGCCTCGTCCGTCCGCCGGCAGAACGACTCTGCCAGTCGGCGTCTTTTCCCTTGTGGAAACGGATTTTTCTGAGCGGCCACTTCATCGCTCTGCTTGTGTTCACTTTCGCGATTTATGCGGCCACCGCGATCTGCCATGCCAACGGCTGCTTCCTTGCACACGCACAGAAAATGCACACACAAAATTGCCCTTTTTTTTTTTTTTTTCTAGCCACCTTGTTCAGGTAATTTTTTCTACAAAAGCGCAAAAACGATTTGATTATATCCATTTTGGCTAGCTCCTTCGTGAAAAGATTATGACTGTTCAGGTGAAAATTTGAACACTCCTCATATTTGTCTTCGTTTTCATCCTGGAATTAATTTGAGGTTATTTGTTGAAAGGACGAGCTGGCAAAATGGCTGGGCGGACAGATGTACGTAATGGTCGTGGCATCTCTTCAGACACAAGGGCAAACTGGTAACTCACAAGTGGCAACTGCTAACTCTCAAATGGCAACACCCAACTCTTGCGAGTGAACTTTTACAAAAGCGTGTACATACCCATGGCTGCGTGCGTCGCCACGAAGTAACCAAAGACACCCCAGAAGGTAGCGGCAAAGGCCAAATCAGGTCTGCCCAGCACATCGGACATGAGTGCAGCAGTACTGGGCCCCCCGACATTTGCATTGATGGCTAGCAAAACTTCGTCTATATGTAAAACCAGGAGAGACCACTTGGTAACCACATTAAATATGTACGAAAAAGAAAACACACAAAATAAATGAGTTGCCAGTAGGCATACCACCAACATTGCTAGCGGCTTAATAACGCTACACAAAATGCGCACATCAATGGACATCCCTGAAAGGGACAAATAGTAAACTGTTAAAAGGTGCAAAACGGTTGAGTAGTACTCTGTGGCTCTGAAATAAATATGTGTCACAAAAACTGCTACTCTCTTTGTGCGTCTCGTTATGCGCTTAGCCATAATGTATGCAATGCAATCCAGGCAGAATAGGTAGCCAAAGGCAAGCGCAAATAAAATGTACGTTTTGAATTTGTCAGCCGGGATATAGGAAGTGACAAATTGATAGATGAACTCGTAGTCGCTCAGCACTTTCGTGCTCAGTCCAATTATGACCACCACGGATAGGCAGTCACATAAGGATTTGCACAACAAAGTGGGTAAGAAGTACACCATAGGAGGGTTTACCTGGTGGGGCTTTAGCTGATGGTCGTCCCCTAGGGGTAATGGCCAGTTTTCATGATTTGCGAACGACCCGTATGATGCGTACAGTGGTGAATCACACAGGAGGTGTGTTATCTCTTCTCTTCCCTCTGCCTCCCTCTGTTCATGAGATAACTTCATTGCACTTCCATTTTGTTTCGAGACACATTCACTGCTGTTGAGCGACACGGGTTCCTCCCCGTGGACAGAAAAAAAAACGCCAACATGTTTCCATAAGGGCAAAGTGATAAGAAACAGATTGGTAAACAAATCGTCTAATATGAACATGCTGTTTCTTTCCATAGTGTCCACCGCTAACAGATCAGCGACTTCCACAAAATTTATGTAGCCACCGATGTACGTAGCAACGAAGCAGCTGGTGTTTTTCCTCAAGCGTTCTTCACTCCCATTTGCGTCATCTTGAAAAAAGAACCTTTTCGTTATGTGGTAAGAAGTGACTCCTCCGATGAGTGTCCCTACAGCGCCGAAGATAAATGCGATGCCAAACGGCGCAACCCTGCTGCTGCGAATTAGTAAATTATACAAGGATTTTTTTTTCTTTCTTTCCTCCTCTGTGAAAGCAGTTTCACGTTCTTCGCCTTCACGACGCTCACACACAATTGCCTTTTTTTTCATACACGAAAAAGTCATCATGAGGGATATGCATAACGAGTAAGACAGTACCCGTTGCAAAATCCAGTCTACATACTTTCTGTCGTCAATTTTTATTTCGAGCATTCCATTGAGCATTATGCCCAGAAGGAAGCTTAACAGATGCACATTTGGGAAACTCTTCCATTTTTTCCTAAACTGAAGTGGCAAAAACAGCAAGCAAATCGCAAGGGGGGCAATGTGTGCGTTGTTCCTCACCCGTTCAATCATCAGATGGCGTTACGAACGGTGCAGTGTTTCACTTAATCGTTTTTCAATTTTGTTATGTTATGTTATGTTGTGATCTGTTTTTTTTTTTTTTTTTTGTTTGCCAAATGGGGGTAGAAAAACCTGGCATGTACATCCGTTCGCATTTAATTATGCTTGTAGTGTATGGGTCCCTTTTTTTTTGTTCGCAAGGTGGTTCTCTTTTAATCGCATCAAAGTGACGCCCATAGGGTTGCCACTCCGCGGCGGTTATGCGTATACCATTTTGGTGGCAACTCATGTGAGCGCTTACGACGTTGTTGGACCTTTCATTTTGTGAAGAAATGGAAAAGAAAAAAGGACTAATTTTTGATCAATTTTGTTAACTTCCATTGTCGTATTTTTTTTTGGGAGATGTAGAGGAAAGTCCTCGTTGGGGTGGTGGCACCAAGGGGAGCAAGGACACTGCCGTAACGCACGAGGGGTTGTATATACATATTTATATTTACCTTACTGGTGGTGGTGGTATGGGGTGGAGCCCTTTCTTTTTATGCACAACCGCGCTTGAGTATTCTGGCCGCTCGCCACTCACCTGCGTATGCCCACATTTTTTCAAAAACAGAAGAAGCGTAGACGACCTTACAGCGGTTCCTTTTTCAAATGCGTCTTTATGTTTGAAAAAAGTAGGTGGGCCTGTTGCATATCCCATTGCAGTGCAAAAATACGTAGCTAGCTGGTTAAGAAAAAAAAAAAAGAAGAAAAAAATATGAACTGTTCATGCAAAAGTGACCAATTCGGAAGATTTTCCAAAAGGGACATATCATGGTGTTGACACATTTGCAATCATTTTGGGGTAAGCGGGACGGACAAAAAGGGGGTTATCTCCCCCTGTTGGAAAATTGCCTCATTTGTCTTGCACGGGGGAAGCAACGCATGAGGGGTCAACATACACATAGGAAATGTACAAATACATGTTCTCACGCATGTATGCATGTGCCAAATGCGAAATGGCGCCCTCAGCACCACCAAGCGGCAAACAGAACGACCGGTTAAGTAACAGTACAGCTGGACACATGGCAATGCAGCACGACGGCATGCTTCATCTACCCTGTGCTCAGATAACCTGAGGGACGATCTGTCGAAATTTTCTCCACCTCTTCTTGGAGAAGGAAAAGATTGGCGACAAATTCACAAATAGCAGCCGCACATGGCATACACATTAAATCGGAGGGAAAAACATTCACATCCCCCAAGTTGGCAATCCCATTTCAAAGCAATTTTGAAGTGGCTCATCACGTTTGAAACACTTCCGGGCAAGTTAACTGCACGTTTATTTGGTGAAACTGCACGCCTCATCCCACCCGTTCGTACCATTTTTATTTTTTTTTTTCTCAATTGTGCACAGCCTATGGACTATTTTTTAAAAAATTTTTCCGATGAGGTTAAGGAACAGTACAGCACGCACGCAGTTAAGCAATCTCCACAAACGTAGCCGAGCGACGAAGCGGCCCGAACGCCTGTCAGGGTTAAACGATTATACTGCGTATGTGCTTCCCGTAGCGATGGGCGCTTGTGGGGATGTAGCGTCGCGCAGGTGTTCCCCCCCCCAAGGTCACAGCGTCATGCCCTGGTATGTACGCTTCTCCGCGCCTTTAGCGCTTTACAGCTTCACGGCTTCCCACCTCGTACCATCGTGCTTGCGGCCCTTGTGCCGCCCACGGGAAGGGATAAACAATTGAACAAATGGACGGAGATGGGCGAGGGTCACGTCCAAGTCGAAATTGCGAACGCGCCAGCCCTCTTCAAATTAGCAAACTAGTTAAAAGGAAGCCATTTTTTTAATATCTTTGAGCAAAAAATGAATGGCTGAATGGTTAGTTTGCGTGCCAGTTGTAACATTACTGTATCGTACTTTCCAAAAGGTGCGAATTTGAGATTTTCCCTTCAGCCAAAAGGGAGAGGAAGTGGAAGAAAAGAGAGGCGAAAAAAAAAAAAAAAAAAAAGACGAACAATTTTCTGCCATCGATTTACCGCCCTTTTTGTTTTCTGTGTGTGAGGGGAAAAGTTATCCAATCTGTGTTTGGGAAAATGCCGTATGTGGACAAAACGGAGGAGTTCTTCAAAGCGGTTGAACGACTGAGCAATGAGAACTTGGACTTTAGGAAGGATAGGAATGTTGGTCAAGACACGGAGGTGAATGAGCTGGCATCGAAAATCACGGACCTGCTGCACAGGGGCAACCAAAAGTTGCAAGAGTTGGAGCGATGTAAGTGCGGATGAGGGCGTGAAAGAGATGAAATGAGATGAGGTGGCAACGGAGGAGCACTAACATATTAGCCGAAACGGGGTAGCACTATCTGATTAGCCGAAACGGGGCAGCACTATCTGATTAGCCGAAACGCAGTAGTAGTAACCGCCCCATGGTCGCAGAACTGCACCATATGGATGGGCTGACACGCAGTGCAACCGTTGGAAGTACCCCCGTGTTTGTCAACTGAGACGCTTTTCTTACTCGTATGTCGTTGCACACAAGTGGGGTACCCCCATCGATGCGCTGCCTCGTTATGCGGGGATTCACCTTTTGTCGAGGTTCACCTCTTCACGAGATTCACCTCTCATGGAGCTCCTCCTTTTTCCTTCCCCTTCTCCAAGGTGTCCGGCAGAAGGGAATATTCAACGACAAGACGTTACAAATAGAAGAGCTAACCTACGAAGTTAAGCAGACCATCACGGACGCTACCAACGACGTGGATGCATTAGTGCAGTATGTCTGCAACCTGAATATCAGTAACCCGCAGGGGAAGACGCACCTGAACAATATTATCTTCTCCCTAAAAAACCGCCTTTTTGAGTTTACGAAGAAATTTAAGGATGTGTTGCACATTCGGAGTGAGGTAGGGGTTGCCGCTATGTTTGGCGGCCCTTCCGGTGCTCCGCTGTGGTGGTCAGTGGAGCTCTTATCTGCGAAAGTGCCAGTTCGATGGATGATGCGTGGACTCATGCCTTGTGGCAGCATCTTTCTTCTCCCCAAGTGGACCGCCATCATTTGCTCCACGCCCCTTTCCCCCCCTCTCCCCTTAGCACATAAAAAAACAAGTGAATCGCAGAAACATGTACTCCTACACGACGACCGAGTCGACATTCAGCAACAACAACTACAAATTCACACCCCTTCGAGATATCGACATTGAGAGGTACTCTACAGACATCTGGGTGGGTGTGCTGTCACGTTTAGATCATCACATAGATGCTTTATTTTATTTTATTTTTTATTATTTTTTTTTTCCCCTTTCAGTGGGCAGCAGCAGACCTTGAAGATGCCTGAAAGGACGTCCTATTTGCACTCCAGAGCGGATGCAATGGAAAACATACAAAAGATAATCGGGGACCTAGCGCAGATGTTCCAGAAGGTCGCAACGATGGTGACACAGCAGGATGAAATGATTCGGAGGATCGACGAGGACATTGACACTTCCCTTTACAACACGAGGGAGGGGCAGAACTACCTCCTCTCGTACTTCAACCGGCTGACGTCGACGCGGACCCTGATACTACAGGTGGGTCTTTGCATGAACAGGGGGTAGAGGTAGGGGTAGATGTGTAGCTCCCTGCCCATTCCCAGTCCAGCATAGCCCTCTCTGCATTGCCACTCCAACGTAGCTTTCACCCCATTGCTCCGCCCCCCGCGCCTAATTCCTCCCCTTACAGATTTTCGCCTGCATATTCATCTTGATAGTTTTTTTTGTGCTCTTCATGTGAGCAGTCTCTGCATCTAGACAGCGCAAGGAAGTCTCTCCATGTCATTTTTATTTATTCCCCCGTTGGAAGCCCTTTGATGGAAGGAACCCTCAAGGCCCCCCAACGTGGCGATGTCGCACCGCAAACGTGCGAAGTTACCAATAATATTGTTCGTTAATTTATTGTTTTTAAATTTGTAGTAGCATTGATCAATTTGGTTAGCCAATTCGCATGGCTTATACCACTCTTTTTTTTCTTTTTTTTTTTTTTTGTGTATGTCGTTTTTGCGCCCATATATGTGCCTTCCCATTTGACATTCTCTCATAAGCGCATGTCATTTGTTAAATTCCTTCCCCCGTCCTACACATGTGCTTACACACGTTTGCAAAGAAATGGAATAATCCACAGAATTAATTTGTTTCTTGCATGTGCGTTTATGTTATTATGAAGAACTGGGGTACGGGCGCCCATCCTTATTGAAGAGGTCACACATGTTGCACGTAACTTGTGTGCGGCGCCCCCCCCTTTGATTAAAACGTTAGGCAGCCTCTGCATTCCCATTTACGTTTGCATCTGAGTCTGCATTTGCGTGTGTGACCAGGCCTACGTTTTGATCTTTTCTTTTTTTTTTGTCCATTTTGTTTATCTTAAGTTTATTTCGTCTTAGCAAGCATGAGTAAGTCAAGTCTCCTCCTTTTTCCCCTCCATTACGAATCCTCTTGCGCATCCTTCTGTGTGCAAATATAGATTGCGCGGATGAAGAGCGGGGATCTTATTTACTCTCCCCCCTTCGCAATTAAAATTGTAGGAAATTAATTTGGTGTTGTCCACTTGGCGCGAGCAGCAGCCGCGGTGAAGTGATGTGATGTCTGCGATAGTAGCATTGCGTCCATTTTTGCAAAGTCGCCTGAACGGTTCATAACATTATGCACTTTTTTTCTACACCGTTGCGCGAAGCGAACACCGCGGAGATCTCCTCATTCGCATCGCAGCGGCGGACAACCGTCCAACAGCCGTCCAACCTTTAAATATACAGTGGTGTAAATTCAATACGAAATAATCGCACGAGTGCCTTTCAAAAGTTTAATGTAATAAAATGTGTTTAATTATTTGTGCAAGTAGTATCATTAAAAAGGGGGAAAGGCACGCAGCACGTGGAATGTGCAAAGGGAAAAAAAGAAAAAAGAAAAAAAAAAAACAAAGCATGACGCACACGGGGGTGCACACTGAGAAAACAAGCAATCTCGTTCGTTAGGCCTCTACTGTGTAAAAAGTTAGGGGTGATAGTTATCGCCAGAATAAAACGTTCAGCAGAAACTTTTTAAACAATGGCCGACGCGGCGGAAGATAACTTGGGCCACAACTCGGCGCATTCCCTTGCAACGGGTCCTGTTATTGCTGATCCCTTCATTTCTCCTTTGGGGTTAACGATAACACCAGCGTTGTCTTCGAAGTAAATGAAGTACCCTTCGTGTCTTCTCCAGGCCTTCGACTGACGTGTGATTATTGCATTTAGCACTTTTTTCCTGAGATCGGGTTTTCCCTTCTTCACGGTGGCTAGCACCATGTCACCAAGTGAGGCAGCGGGTAGTCTGTTCAGACATGAGCCAAATCCCTGTCAGTCAGAGGGAAAAAAAAAAAGAAAAAAAATAATGATACTTCTGTCCTCACGCAGGAAACAGACAGGTAGTAGCGTAGAATACTCCCTTTGGTACTCCCCATCGGCACACACAGATATACGCCATCCAACAAAAATAAAAATATACAAAGGCATTCGATCAGTGAATTATTTAATATATCGGCTAAACAATTTATCAACATGAAGGTATTTTTCTGTCCTATCATTGAAATCATCATGAAAGCTTTATATATTTTGGACGTGGCAGCGCGGTTGAGCGGGAGGAGGCGAAGGGGGCGTAGCGAAGCCTCTCTGACGCAGATACATACTCCGCATAGGCGAATGCCTTACCTGCACAGCAATAATGTACAAGTTTTTTCCTCCACTGTTATCGCAGCAGTTGATGAGAGCCCCCACGGGGAGAGAAAGCGTTATTCTCATCTTGTTTTTCAACGTTCCCGCTCGTCCTCTTTTCATTTTGACTTATCTCCACAATACAATGGTAAAAGAAAAAAAAGAAAAAAAAAAAAGTGACTTATCCACGCGATGTAAACGTATAACTGCGTATATGTTTATGCGCAACAATGATCTGTAAAATGGAGGGGTGGATTGCAAAAAAGGGAAAAAAGAAAAAAAAATAAGATAAAATTAAGTAAAATAAGATTAAGCAAAATAAAGCAAAATAAAGTAAAAAAAATGTAAAATAAACACGCGAGCAGTGCTGGCAACAACGTTAAAGGGTCAACTGGACAACCTTCCTCGTTTAACTTATAAAATATGCTCACTTGAAAAAAATGGTACTCCCATAGTCCCCAATACATATGCCCCGCGTTATGTAGATAGGGTACATATACATAAACTCAACCTGCTGATGCAATTTTTAACCGCTTCAAACGAAATATATATTTTTTCATTTAAAAAAATGTACGAGGTGACTTTTGGGGCAGTCCATCAATTTTTTTTTCATGAACCTTGAGAGGTTAGTAATATGTACTGCTAAAGGTTGACGCATGAAGGTACGGTGCTTCCATAGGGAAAAAAAAAAAAAAGGAAACCGCCCCCAAAAAAAGGCCTTTATGTTTTATGCCTCCCCGGAGATACGTCACAAGCGGACCAAAGCTGAACACATTATATACACTGTGGTGTGGCAGGGATATGGCTGCCGAAGGGACAGGCGCTACTCTTCCCACTGTACCCACGCTGGTGAGGAAAGGGACAGTTTGGCGCCGCAACTAAAGGCGGCGAAAAATAATTGCGCCGCTTCTTTGTGCCGCTTCCTTGCGCCGCTTCTTTGCGCCGTTTCTTTGTGCCGCTTCCTTGTGCCACTTCTCCGCGCCTACATGGAGCGCTGGTGTTGGGGGGATTTCCACGAAGCGGTGGTGCAGCGGGGAAAATCAAGGCGCAAATGGGGAAGGAAATAAAAGGAAGAAAAAGTAAAAAAAAGGTAAAAAGGTTGAATAAGTGAAAAATCGCACGTCAACTAGGCAAATTCGTGCAATGCACAACAGGGAAAGTCGCAGCTTTGATGGAACGATACTGCGATAAAGGCAGCTCCTCCCAGCCAACGTCTGCTTTTTTTTTATATTATTTTTTTTTATTTTTTTGGCTAAAAAAGTGCCCTTTTTTTTACCTGAACGGTTCATACTTTTTTCTTTCGTGCTATGCAAAGGCACACGCGCTGGGTGCGGAGGGGCGTACCTCGGATGGCTTCCCAAGTAGGCATACCGGCATGTGAGTGAAATCAATTTTCATATATTTGCAAGCGTAGGGTATGCATGAAGAGGGGAACTACTAAACGGGAAATAACCATACTGAACGCGGAACAACTATACTAATCGCGGAACAACAATACTAAACACACATGTGCATTTTGCGCAACAGCCGTCGGTGGAAGGAACGCCTATGATGCTCGCTCTGTTCTGCCTACATGAAACGACAAACATTTTTGCAAAGAAGAAACCATTGAGGTTACCTTTACCTCGTGCAAAAAAAGGAAAAAAATGCATTTTGATTGAAACACCCAAGTGAGTGGAAGAAATTGCCACACGCATTTCGCTTTTCGCCACACTCGTTCTGCTCTTTTTCTTCGTGTTTTTTTTTGAGCAAATAAGGTGATAAATCGTCGCGGCCACTTCCCATCCCTGCGCCGCTTTTCAGGCGAACCGTGATCAAAGGAAAAAAGTGGTGATGTCTGCCTAGGGGCGAACACCGGTTCCCTTCCCTCCCCCCAAAAAAGGTATTTTACCGCTTGGCTCATCACCCCCTGTCTGCCGCGGCTCACCCTGTGCTCCCAAAATCTTCGACAAGATGGAGAATGTGGAGAAGATATACATCCGGAACAAAGCCGACCTCTCGGATAACTTCTTTTACTTCTACAACTGGGTCAAGCTGAACTTTAATACGTGCCTGATCATAAGCGAGAATAGCAGCCTGCGGAGCAGCGTCGTGTTGGAGCTGCTCAATGGGAAGAGGCTCGTGCTGAGTGAAATCAACGTGTGTGAAGCGTTATTTCGGCTGACCTGCGGTGGGGTCGGCGATGCGGTCGGGGATGCGATTAGCAATCCGGTCCGCAATCCCATCAGGGACCATCTTGCTGCTCACTGTCGTGATTCCCTGCGCGGGGAGGAGCTCAAGTTCTACCTGAAGGGGCAGCTTGCGAGCGACAAGCCGGTCGACGAGGAGTTCCTTCAAAGGGTGGAAGCCGAAATGGCGCTGCAGAAGGTGTTTTGCAGAGAGAAGCTGAGCTTCGTGGACTTCCTCCTTTTCTCCATTTTTAAGAAAGCCAAAGTGGAGCGACTGGAGGACCCCGAAGGTAGGTACCCCCATGTCAGCGCATGGCTTTCCCAAAACAACTTCACCATAAAGGAGGAAGACATGACCTCCTTTGCGAGCACTAACTTTATCCAACAAATAATTGAGGACGATTTGAAGAGAAAGAAACATACTTGTGTGATTACGAGATTTCCACCTGAACCGAATGGTTACCTGCACCTGGGTCATGCAAAAAGTATATGTCTCAATTTCGGTCTGTCTGAAAAATATGGAGGGAGGACGCACCTACGATTTGATGACACCAACCCAGTGACGGAGGAAGTGAGATACATAGAATCCATTAAGGAGGATGTCAAATGGTTAGGATTCGATTGGAAGGAACATTTGTATTTCGCGTCGGACTACTTTGATCAGTTATACGAATGGGCCATCCAACTGATAAAGCAGGGGGATGCATATGTCGATGATCAATCCATTGAAGAGATAAGAAAAAATCGAGGGAGTTTGAAGCAGCCCGGGGTTAATTCTCCATACAGAGAGAGAAGTATTGAAGACAATTTGACCCTGTTTAGGAAAATGAAACTAGGAGAGTTCGCAGAAGGAGAGAAGGTACTCCGAGCCAAGATTGATATGTCATCAGGGAACATAAACTTAAGGGATCCTATCCTATATCGCATTATGCATAAGACGCATCCGAAGAGTGGAGACAAATGGGTGATTTATCCAATGTATGACTTTGCACACGGGCAATCTGATTCCATAGAACGAATTACACACTCGATCTGTACTGTCGAATTTGAAACGCATAGACCGCTGTATGACTGGTTCCAGGAGAAGCTTGGAATATATAGGACGAGACAAATTGAGTTTGCTCGTCTAAACGTTACGTACATGGTGATGAGCAAGAGGAAGCTTCTAACTCTGGTGAATGAGAAGTACGTGGATGGATGGGACGACCCACGCATGCCAACGATCTCTGGGATGAGAAGAAGAGGGTACAGTCCAGAAGCCATCAAAGATTTCTGTGCCAAAGTTGGAGTCGCAAAGAGGGAGAATATCATTTCTTATGAGTTACTAGAATTGTGTGCAAGGGAAGATATGAATAAGAAGTCAAAGAGGCTCTTTGCCATTTTAAAGCCTCTAAAAGTCGTCATCACCAATTTCGTTCCGAACGATGAGAAGTTGCATGAGCTCACTGCATTGAACCATCCGAAGAATGAATCCATGGGACAGAGGACATTGAAATTTGAACAAGAGATCTACATCGATGAGGAAGACTTTCATGAAAATCCCCCCGATCATTTCTATCGACTAGCTCCCAACAGGACCGTCCGACTGAGGTATGCCTTCTACATTACGTGTCAGGAAGTGGTGAGGGATGAAGCCACCAACCGGATAGTCGAGCTGAGGTGCACCTACGACCCGGAGAGTAAGAGCCGCGGGAATGTCAGCCAAGGCGGCGTCACAGCTATGCAAAGCGGCGCCACGGCTAGCCAATCCTGCGCGGAAAGTTTGAAGAAAATAAAATCCACCATCCACTGGGTAGCTAAGTCGAATGCCCAAAACGCGCAGTTCAGAATCTACGACAAGCTCTTCACCAAGCCCAACCCTGAATCGAACGAGGACGATGAGGACGTGGAGAAGCTCATGGAAAACTACACAGTACAGCTGGACAGGCAAAACAGCTGCCCGGAGGAGGAAGAAGCGGAGGAGGAAAAGACTCCCCCGGAACAGCAAAGCGAACTGGAAGGAAAAGACAACCTAGGGTGGAGAAAATACATCAACAAGAATTCGCTGCAGATCCACCAAGGAATCGTGGAGAAATACGCATCCAGCTGCAGTGTGGGAGAAGCTATTCAGTTCGAGCGTATTGGCTTCTTCACAAAGGATAAGGATTCCACGGAGGATTGCCCCGTGTTCAATTTGACCGTTGCGTTGGTGGAGAACAGTGCGCTCAAGAAGAAGGAGGATTTAGTGAAGAAGGAATTGGACCGTCTGAAGCGGGAGAAAGCTGCCTCCGAGCGCCGCCTCAAGCGGGAGGAGCGCAAGCTGCGCGAGCAGCGCAAGTTGGAGCAGGCGGCGGGGGGGAAGGGCGATGCGAGCGAAGTTAGCGGTGTCAACGGGGTAGAGTAGTGTAAGCGGCACAAGCGGTACTTACTTCGCCCGCTTCAGGCGGTTCAAGGGGTACGTTCGGCTACTGCATTTTTTGCGCCCCTCCACACACATACGCAGACACACATCCCCGGACGATCCAACAGCTGCGCAATAGTGTGGCCTGCGCTCCTACCACGGCACATTAGCAGTTTTGGTAATTTGTGCACCCCTCTTTAAAACGTACGAAAAGATTTTTCCTTTTGTTTTTCCTTTTTTTTTTTTTTTGTAACCCTTACGAGGAGTACACCCAACATATTCGAACGTGAGCAAAAAAAAAAAAAAAAAAAAGCGAATTGAAAAGTTATCCCTCTAAGTCTCTCCCATACACGGATAGCATTTTGCCTAGTGTGGTGCCGTGCTTCCGCTGTCACTTCTTACTCCTCGATGTGTTGGCAACATTTCTTTCATCGGGGAAGCCCAATGGAATGAGTCGAAGCAGCGGTAAGGGAAAGAACACTCTTAAGGGAGCGTATGCTCCTATTCCAGTGTGCCCCCTCGTCCCCCCCCCCTTTTCGTTGTGCGGCACGCATATGAACCTACTTGCATATGTGAAGATCCAATCGTAGGTGCGTTATTCCACTGAGCATAATAGAATGAAGGGTTACACATTTGTACGTGTGGTTTTGTCCCCCCCGGGGAAGGTGACATATTTTTACCAATGAGTAACAGCTAGGCTTGACTTGTGGAGATATTCCGCTCGAGGGCGTCCTGCTGCGGCTCGGGAAAGAAAAAAACGATCATTACCTTTTCCCCGAACGGAGCTATATGATTACATTTCATTCTCGAGGGAGAAGTCCACAAAAGTATGCGGAAACTGCCAACAGAACTTTGTTCATATGATCTTGTAGTGTGTTTGGGATTTTTTTTTTTTTTTCTCCGCAGTTGGTTCATAATCTTTAAAGAAAAATAACGTAAATGGGGAGAAGTTCTGTTTTTTTATTTTTTTTTTTCCGTGGACTTTTTTTCTTTTTCATTGTTGATTGCCGCCCCTTTTTTGTCCTTTCCCCAGTTCGCTCTCCTTTGAGGTTCATTCATTTGTAGCTTATCTTCATCTCTCCCTCGCGACAATCCGTATGCGCCACTTTGCTGCACTCGGAGTAACTTCACGTAACTTGTTGCTTCCTCTCTCTACACATCGACGGCTTCGCGCACCCCGTGTTTGTCCCCTCTCGCCCTGCCCTGCCGTTTGGTTTTTTTTTTTTTTCTTTTTTTTTCTTTCTTTTTCTTCCTTTTTTTCGTAATGTGAAGTACCATTTCGTCACGGCGAGTTTGCACATAGGTAGCGCTCACATACAGGCGGATAATTACCCTTAACAAGCACCTACGTGCTGACATAAGCACACACGTGAGGACAGAGGCACATGTACGAACATTGAAGCAGATGCACAGAGATTGAGGCACATGTACGCAGATTGAAACACATGTACGCAGATTGAAACACATGTACGCAGATTGAAGCACTCGCGCGCGGACCGAAGCAGGCACGTGCACTCTCTCCCCTCGGCACATGTGAAGCGCGCACAACGACTAGCTAAGATGAGTGTGAAAAATAAGTGCATGCTCCTTTACAACGTGGCCTGCTGCTCCCTCTGGGTCACTGTCCTCTTCGTATCCCTGCAACATGTTCTCAACAAAGAGAAGTACCCCCTAAATAGCTTTTGGCCCAAGTATAAAAATTTGATAACAGTGACTCAGTCGCTGGCCGTTCTGGAGATTCTCTTCACGCTCTTCGGTATGGAGTGGTGCTGTTACGGCGGGTTGAGCTGCTGAGCGGCCGATCCCTCGAGTGCACACGTTTGTGGAAGTATGCCTGCGCAAATGCCTAGTGTGAACCTTATCCTCCCCCGTTTGCACCCCTCGTCTGGTCTTTACACCATCTTTGCTGCTTCTCCTATTTTGTTGCCTCTCCCGCCCCTCAGGCCTCATCAACTCAGTGGTCGGCATCGTCACCACGCAAGTGTGCAGCCGCCTCTTTGTGGTTTACCTTATTTTTAACTACCTGCCCGAAAACAACAAGTGGATCTTCTCCTGCCTCATCGCATGGGCCATCATCGACATCATTCGCTACCTGTTCTACTCTCTTAATCTGCTGAATTTTCACGTCAATTTTTTGGCGTCCCTCCGAAATAAGCGTAAGTGCGGTGGTTGTTGTGTCGTTTGCGCTAAGGCTTCCACACGGAGCGCTCTTCGGGGCCTCTCCCCCAGAAAGGGAAACCCGCCGAAAGGGAAACCCGCCAAAAGGGAAACCTCCCTCCATCTGCACACAATTAGACATATTGCTCCCCCTCCCCTTCTCCCCCTTTACATTGTCGCAGTCCCGTTAATATTATACCCAATAGGAATCACGTCCGAAGTTGTGTGCACCATAGCAAGTCTCAAGAACATCCACGCCACACCTTTTCTGAGGGCCTACCCCTACTCCATGCCCAACAATTTAAATTTCCAAATCGACATTTACTACGTTTGTATCTTTGTCCTGATTCTCTACATTCCTGGGAGCATTTTACTGTACGCCTCGGCCATGAAGTATGTCATAGCGCAGTGTGCGTGTAATAAACGTGTGAATTTCTGTTGGCACTTTTTTCTTTTTTTTTTTTTAATGTAAATCGCCTGACCGTTCATATCATACACGTTCTATAAATGCACAAGGGTTGTTTTCCCGATTTGGAGTTTTTTTTTCTCATACCGCCACACTGCATACCTTTCCTCTTGTCCCTTCAGGAAAAGCAAAAAGGGAGCAGAAGGGACGGACAAGAAATTGGATCCAAGTGTCAAGAAGACGATATGAATAGGAAGGAGTACGTTCGTTTGGGCGTCCCCCTTGTGCAAATGACAGGGCCAAGGCCAGGGCCAGGCGAAGAGCCAGGTCACCCCCACGCACAGGCAATATGTCACAATACGTGCCTACATGGCTGCATGCAAAAAGCTATATGTGCACGCACGCGCGCAAAACCCTTTTCACTCACAGACGAACACATGACTCTACAAAATGAGAAAATCTTAAAGACAGTCAATTGTTAAAGATACGCAGTTGCTGAAAGGGGTCAGCTCGATTGGGGGAGTCTTAAACTTGTGCGTCGCGAAAGTATAGGGTGTGAAACTTATACAGGGTGTGCTTCACTGGGGAAGCAGCATGTGTGTGTGTGTCTATGTATGTATATCTTCTGGGTGCATATTTAAAAAGAGAGGGAAAAAAACGCGAATTAAATTTTGCTGCTCCTTCGGGGGAAGCACTCCTGCGGTGAAGCTTCACCTACACCAATTGTGGTGCGCACAAATGAACAAATGGTAGTGCACTTTGCAGGGGGAGTGGCGAGGGTGGCGGTACAGTTCTCCACCCCCCGCATCAACACAGCCCATCGCGCCCCCTTCCCAATGGGTCAGTTCTAACTTCATACGTGCGGACTTCATGAGACGGGAAGAAGTCCTGACTCCTCGCTGGTCTCCCCCTCGTCACTCCGTTTCTTCGCACTCAAAACGTTTTCAACGTCTCTGTTTTCTAGCCACAAGAAGAGGTCATTGTTTTCGCTACCCTCGCTTGAGTAATCGTTTGGATCGACGCTTATTCCACCGTCCGGCTCGGCGCTTAGTCCACCGTCCGGCTCACCGCCTACCTCACCATCCTCACTATATAAGTCCTTCATCGTGGAATAAAACCATTCGAACTTCCCAGCGTGGTTAGCTTCACTTTTTTCTGTGCTGCCATTCGGACGGAGGGAGCCGACGTTATCGTTAGGATGTTCCGACTGGCTGTTCGCTCCACCGGAAGTGACACCCGTTTGGTCGCTCCTCCCATTGCTCGAAGTGACACACAGTTGGTTGCCCTTCCCGTGTTGAACTACCCCCTCTGCAGCACTGTTTTCCTTGTTCATAGTTTCCCCCCCCTTGGTTGGGCCCTTTCTCCGTTCCACTGTGCGGGGCAGATTACCGTCTCCCCTCCTGTCCTCTACTTTGCCATCCAGGGCACGACTCATTTGGGAATATCCTGCCTCCACCGCATCGTTGTATTTTTTTATCTTTACATGGATAGGACTTCCACTTCTGATCGGTGGAGTTTTTTTCTCCTTGTCGTTTTTCTGATCTCTGCTCCACGTGAAACTCCCTTTTGGAAGCACCTTAGGATTGCCTCCATCCGTTTTTTCCCTCTCAGGGGAAGCTCTCTTTTCTGCCTTTCCTGTGTGTTTATTACTCTCCATGGTGACCCACGTGGTCACCTTCCCGTCTTGTTTGTCTGTGTCTCCTTCTCCAACTTGGCTCACATCCCGCTCCAATGCCTTCTTCCCCTGCTCAGAGGTTATTCTACTGTCAACGGATTGGAGCATTTGCAGAATCTTCAGTACGAGGTGTCTCTTATTGGACTTGCGGAGATCCTGGACTAAATTGGCGATGTAGTCTTCCCCCTTGTCGGAGCTTTTCTTCATTTCGCTAATCAGGGTGTGCAGAAGTTCCAATTCTTTGCTGTCGTGGCGGTCCATTTGGCTGTCCAGTTGTTTTTCCACCTGTTTTTCCATCTGTTTTTCCACTTCCTTCTCCATTTGGTCTTCCCTTTTGGCTTCCCCCTCGAGGCTGCTCACCCCGTCAGCGTAGGGGTGAAGCGTCGTGCCAAGGTCAGGCTCAGATGGGTAGCACCTCTTCTCGTTTTCCATTCTTTCCAAAAGGGTTCCGTCGCCATTCGCTCCACGTTCCTTCCCTCTCTCAGCAACGACTGTGGCCCCCTTCTTGTCCCTCCTCAGAAGCATCTCGTTTTTCCTCTTCTGCACTTGGTCTTGCTGGATCTTCTGGAAGTACTCCTTGAGCTGTTTGACGGTGCCTTGTCGCTCCATTTTCAGTTTGATGTACGAGTAACGGTGATCGCCGCGGTCTCCCTGCTGGTTAGCAGCGTGTACGTCGTTAGGAGGGCATCTTTCATTGCCACCGCTTACGTCGTTAGGAGGGCGTCTTTCATTGCCACCGCTTACGTCGTTAGGAGGGCGTCTTTCATTGCCGCCGCTTACGTCGTTAGGAGGGCGTCTTTCATTGCAACCGCTCACCTCATTGCCCCCCCCGCCGCACTTTCGGAGTGACTTCATCGCATCCCTCCTCACCTTCACCTCGTGTTCCTCAAAATGTTTTTTATATCTGTAAAACTCGTCAAAGGACCTGTACGTGACCTTCCCCTTATTTCCCTCCTGGTGATGCGGCTTCTTCTGCTCCTTCGCTGTAATTTCTTCCCCTCCATTTTCCGCACTTGCTTTTTCTGGCCATTTTTTTTTTTGCAAAAGTTCTTTCTCCTTGAGGATGATTCTTTTCCTTAATTCGATCAAGTCATCATAGGAAGTGGTTTCTCCTCCGCTTGTGTTTTTTCTGCCTCCGTCCGAGTGGGTTGCGCTCGCCATGGTGTCATGCGGCACCACTATTTTCCAGCCGAGGAAGCCGCCCAAACCTGCTTCTGAACCGTCTTTGCGGTGGTGCTCGATTGACGTCTTCCTTGCCCGTGTGTCCTTTGTGGTGTTTTTACTTTTTCGAGACAGACTCCACCGCCGCTGGGTTCCCCCTACCGCTTCCTCTCCGGCGTTGAAGCGAGGGTCTGGATGGACGTGGCGCTGTCTGACGTGGAGCGGTTGCCACTAACTTTGTTGCTAACTGCGCTGGTGCTGGAAATCCGGCGCGAATTCCCACGTTGTCGTTCTTCACCCAGTCTGGGTCTGCGCGCCGCACGCCTGTGTTGTTCTTTTTTTTCTTCTGCTTCCGATCTGCCCCCCGTCTGCGTGTTGTCAGTTTAGGCGTTCTTCACACAGTAGCCGCAGCGCGAATTGGAGAAGTGTATTTTTTTTTTTTTTTTTCGACAAATTTGTGAATTTCCACG